CCTCCCAACAAATGACTGTATGCAGAACTGTAGTAACACTCGAGGAAGCTACACATGTTCATGCGACGATTTCTTTAAAGTTGATCCAAATAATCCAAAGAAGTGTATAGGTGAGATAAATTGATCGTGAAAACATTACTGGTTTCGTTTTGGGAAAGACTCGACCTATTGAAAAATCAGGCGCTATACTCCTTATCAAAGAGTCTGGGTTGGAGCCCTGGCCCTGTGTGGTGTTGTTGGGCTGGACTCTCTACTCTCGCAGTGCCTCTCTACACCCAGGAGTTACCGGTGAACTGTCAAGAAGTCCTGACGCAATGCTATGGGGTAACTTGCGATTAATTAGCTTCCCATCTGAAAGGGAATAGGTATCCTCGCAATGTGTTTCTGCTGAGTGAGTGGTTGGGGTCAGAAGCCGAGTTCACCTCTTATCACCTGCCCTCTGAAAGAACAATTCACTACGAGAAAGCACTAAATCAAAACGTTAAATAAAACAAAATCAATTCCCCCCCAAAAAAAAACTGAGATAAGGTGAAAGTGAAACTTTAGTATTTAGGAAGTATGTCAGGTGGAAGAGTTAACTTAGGCTGGTTCCTCAATGAGAGCGGTCGAGGAAAAAGTGTAGCAAGTTAAAGTGGATAGAATGAGCCTTTTACGAGAGGGTGATCGCATGTTGAAGTAACATTTGCTATAGTTTGAACACTCACTCTGGTCTACGAAAAGATAAGATATTTAAGGGCGACAAAAGAGTGACTGTGTTTTTGCTTCATTGGGGTGGTTTACTCGTCCGTCCTCCAGTTATATCAGTCACATGACTCAGTGTGCTCTACTTATGAGCAAAAGTTTAGAAAACAACCCCTGGTAAATTCGCTCATGTCATGAATAAAAACTAGATGCTACTGAGTTCGAATCACAAATATTTAAATCCAATATAAATGTGGCTACTTTTTATACAGCCGAAAAACCTTGTTCCTCTGGCCATGGTTGTGAACACGTTTGCTTCAAAGGGAAAAATAACGAACCAAAATGCACGTGCAATGCTAATTATGAGCTGGAGAGTGATGGAGAAAGTTGTAGAGGTAATAGAGAACTTTTGTGACTTTGAGAAATAAATGTCGTAAACGCAACCTCAGGTGAACTTATAATGAACATCGGTCGAGTGACATCCGTTGATGTACCGAAATGGAATCCCCTCTTACTCACCAGCTGCTCTTGATTAGATATTGTCCAGTTTGTAGTATATTGACTTCTATTTTATTTTGGCCATTTGCTGTTACGTAATATGTTATGCTTTGTTTTCCAACAGCTATCAAACCGACTGCCCCTCCTGTTGATAGTAAGTAATCATGGTTTCATCTATGATTTTGTTTTGTCCTTCCTCTCCCTTTTGTTTGCCGTGCTTCCTTAATCTAAAGGTTTGTAACTGTATCTAAACTGTGTATAAATGCATATGAACTTGATCTTTGGAACGAATAAGGAAACTGCTTTTTGTGAGAAAATTTAATTGTAATCACCGTTTTCTCTCTAAATATAAAACAGTTTGTCATTTGGGATGCGTGTAGAGTTTGATAACTCTACACGTTAAGATGAAGCTGCATAAACATGTAAACACAGAAACTCCCCATTGCTCTATTAATTCAAGTTTCACTTCGTCTTCCTTTTCAAAGCGAGCAGCATGTATCCGTTTGGCCCTGAGCAGAATGACACAGAGTTTCTTCTCGAGGATTCATGGTATTATGACTCCCGGCGATGCCTACGAATTAATACAGACTGGAAGGGATTCCCCTTCTTCACAGGCAGACATTATAAACTGCATGTGAGTTTTTCTTGATGAGCTTTGACTGTATTGCGTAGTCGTCGTTATTTCTTGTTACCACAAAAATCATATACTTCCTTAACATTGGTTTTTTTCGTTGCTGCTTTAGTTCCAGCCTTAAAACCTGTGAAAGACTGAATTCCTTCAGCTCAGTTTAGTAAACGTCAATTTTAGTCAACTTTGTTTTGCGACTGGTCCAAAAAAGCCATCCCCTCAGCCAATCAGATGCAAAACTGGAAACAATCAGGACATGATCATTTGCGTTTTCCCGCGTTCCGAGCAGTCTTGGCCAATGATATTAGAAATCTTTGTTCTGATCGATTGGTCGTAAGGATAAATTTGGGTTTGGTTTTTTGACATTCAATGGAAAACTTCTCTAAATAGTTAACACTGCAATGCTATCTCAAAGTCATATTTTAAGAATTAGATAAGCCACTCGTGTGCATTGCTAGAGAGCACTTGGGGTATATATGGCTACACAGGTATTGCTACACCTGTAAAGAATCTTAACGAACAAATGCATCAAATAAGCTTGCAAAACTGTGATTCAGTTCGCTTCATGATCAAGCTGCGTGGTTAATTCCTGTCTTTTTTATCTTGTAGATATGCCGCGACGGTAAAATCCAACTGAACTATGAGTGGAGCTGGTGGTGGCCGCAGAAGTTTGGTATCTACCGATGGTTCAGAAATGTGGCTGTTATTGCACCTTTTTGGGCTACGACCGATACTCACTTCGCCTTCAGAAAAAATCACTCCAGGGTGTATTATCAAGTGTACGAAGAAAATAAGGGAAGCTCCAATGAGATTATTGCTA